TGTCGCTGGGCACTACTGAAAGAGCTTGGCCCCATCCTCCTAACACCCACCCTTGAGGTATTTATAATTTTTTATAAGGTCCCCTCTCAACCTTCTGTTCTTCAGGTTGAACAAGCCCAGCTCCCTCAATCTTTCTTTGTAGGAGAGATGCCCCAGTCACCTAATCATTTTTATAGCCCTCCTCTGGACTCTCTCCAGCAGCTCCTCATCTTTCTTGAACTGGGGAGCCCAGAACTGGACAGAGTACTCCAGATGAGGCCTCCCTAGGGCAGAGTAGAGGGGAAGGAGAACCTCCCTCGACCTACTGGCCACACTCCTCCTAATGCATCCCAGGATCCCATTCGCTTTCTTGGCAACCAGGGCACACTGCTGGCTCATGGTCAACCTGTCGTCCAGCAGGACACCCAGGCCCCTCTCCACAGAGCTGCTCTCCAGCAGGTCCACCCCAAGCCTGTACTGATGCATGGGGTTGTTCCTCCCCAAGTGCAGGACCCTGACTTGCCCTTGTTGAACCTCATCAGTTTCCTCTCTGCCCAAATTTCAAGCCTGGACACCATTCCTAAAAGCCTGGCTCTGGTTTCATTTGGATAACAAAGATCAGAGAGCAAACTGGTGGAGAAAGTACTTTTTCTTTCACAGTTGTCTTTTCTGTCCTGTGGATTTGTTCAGAATACTGCAAAGCTTGGCTTGAGTTTGACTTCCGTTACTTCATCAGTTGCATCGATCACCTCAGCTTTTTTAGCTTCCTTCGTATAGAGATAACCTAGGATTGTGCATTTCCAAATGAAGTGAGTTTATCACCAGCCAATCCTTCTGAATGGCTGGTCCACAAGTGTCTGTTCCTGAACTTGCCAACAATCTCATCTTAAGGTGGTTACAGACTGGGACAAGCTCAGAGTCAGCAACAGCAAGTGGTGTCAGACAGACCTCTGCTCCCTAAGTATCTGATCTACACTGTCTGCCACCCTTCTAGTTGAAGGACATGGTTCTACATGCAGGGTATTCTCAGGGAACCCCTAATAAGAATACAAAAAAAAACCTGAAAAGAAACCAAATAACAACAACAAAACCTTTTCTGCTATTTATTGGTTTCTGCCATTTTGGCTTCTTTTTTTGGTATTCTTTGGGTTTTTTTCTCCCTTTCCCTTCCAGCAGTCTTGGCTCTCTTCCTGTATAGCCTCTAGACGTGAACCTGAGCATGCAATGGGATTTATTTTTGCTGATTCATATCTACCCTCTGTGGATAGGCCATTGGCATTTTGAATGGAGATGACACGAAGCTGAAGGATGACTTCCTTAACTTGAGTCTCTCCGTTATCAAATTGGCAATTTTCATTAATCCTGTGGGAATTTATATATCTGTATTATCTCCTTCCTCTGACAAATTTGGTGAATATTAATTAGTCAATTGAAGTTATATGAGGGGCCAGGTGGATGGGTAGTTTGAGTGTGTGGTTATAGTTTCACTAGGAAACAAATTTAAAAAAACACCAAAACTATCTATTGGATTATTTTTATGTTGAACAATCTCTGGCTGTGTGATGTGATTCCACCTTATTCTGTTTTCTTGTGACTTTGTATTTGTCTTTTTTTTTATTTTTACTTTATATACATGCTACACAGACTTTATATACAGTTAAAGTATCCTGTACATTTCATAAAGACCTAGAATTTTAGAGTTCATCTTATCTGTGTTCGGAAATTATCAATGTAAGTCTTATACATTAATCAGATTACTGTATATAAACAGAGCTGTGTAAACACTTGTTACTTGCTTAGGCACTAGGTTTACACATTTGAATAGCCATTGAGGAATTCTTGCAGGAAAACTGTAGGTTTTCACTTATCTTCCAATACATCTCCACTATTGTCAAGAGACATCAGTGATTTTTTCTTCATTGCTAAAAACCCTCAAACTCTCATTTATAGCAAAGTGCAGGATATGGACCATGGCTTAACATTTGTGGCCTGGTATTTTGATGAAGTGTTTTAACTGGAAAAGATAGGTCAGAAATCAATGGTTATTTCTGTGATTTCAGAAGGTGATCCCCAAAATGTGTCTTTACTCTTCACCTTTTCTTTCTTTATACATCTATTCCTGCAGGTGTCTCCTAAATGGCTTTTGTTTGTATAACTCACTATCTAGTGAGGTATCTTCATGTTACAGGCTACCTATATTATTCACTTAAATGAATGTCACAACTTTGTCAACAGTTATTATTTTATTAGCAAGAGTATATTAATTATTCTGGCTATAACCCGGCATCTTTTTGAACCTGTACAGTTCCTAATTAGTTTGGCAAGCAACGCAGATTTTCAGATTAAGCAGCTGCTTGATCTTCATTCTTACTAGTAATACAGGTCAAACTGAGAAACAGCTACGTATCATTGTGTCTTCTCAGCTTCCTTACTTATCCAAGCTAAGCTCTGTTTGTGTGTTTGCTTATGCTGAGCTATAATAAGTTTATTTTTTTCACCTCCTTTTCTGCACCTATGGTATCATAATACTGTCAACTACTTACTAGCAGGTGGTAAGCAAGAATCTTCTAGACCATATGAGACCACACTCAGCCATTTCAGCAGCAGTTCCAGGTGAACAGGCAGTAGTAATTAGTGAGACCATAGTCCATTCCACTCTGATGGGAATTTTTAATTTTCCATGTATCAGAGTAAGAAACCAAAGTATTTTAGGTATGGGTTTTACAGCTTCTTGTTCATAACCTAGATGGATGAGATTTTAGATGCAAGACAGAAGTCCCATAGCTTTCCTCATGGTTCCTCAGTTGTTCAGCCTCTCATTTTATTATGTCCTTACATTTAAGTTGCAGTATGTCCTGATTTCGGCTTGGATATAGTTAATTATCTTCCCAGTAGCTGCTGACTTTTTCCAGTTTCTTGTATTCAGCTAATGAGCAGGTGTCAGGAGGATGGGGCCAAGCTCTTTTCAGTGGTGCCCAGTGACAGGACAAGGGGCAATGGGCACAAACTGAGGCACAGGAAGTTCCTTCTGAACATGAGGAAGAACTTCTTCCCTCTGAGGGTGACTGAGCACTGGAACAGGCTGCCCAGGGAGGTGGTGGAGTCTCCTTCTCTGGAGATATTCAAGCCCCGCCTGGACAAGGTCCTGTGCAGCTTGCTGTAGGTGACCCTGCTTCGGCAGGAGGGTTAAACTAGATGACCCACAGAGGTCCCTTCCAACCCCTACTATTCTGTGATTCTGTGATTCTGTGCAGGAGCTGGGAGGGACATAGCCAGACAGACAGCCAAGGTGGGCAGTGGAAATACTCCATACCATAGACATCATGCTCAGTTTATTAATTGGGTCTGGCCAGGGAGCAGGATTGTGGTCTTCTCTTTTCTGTGAGTTTGAATCCTCTCTTGGCCAGGAGTTCGAACTTATCTGGGAGTTCAGTCTTTTTCAGAAGTTTCGTGAAATTTGTGAAAGCCACAATTTCCAGGTTCCGCGATCGCCGCTCAGGGACTGGATGCAAATTAGTCACTGGGTGGTGAGAAAAAATGTAGTGTGTATAGTTTTTTTGCATATTCATGATTATCATAATTACTATCATTATTAGTAGTAGCAGTACTGTTAGTATTAATATTTTCCTTGTTGTCTTTATCTCAACCCACAAGTTTTACCTTTTGTCCATTTGTCCTCTCCATCTCACTTGGGGGGAAGGGGAGGGGTGAGTTGAGTGGCTGTCAGGTCGTAGTTGCTGTCTTATGGGTTAAACCATGACACAATATTATTAACATGCAGTTGATTGTATTTAAATAATATGTTTGTGGAAGAATCCAAATACTGGTTTCTGTTTTCTTTATAGCTTCTTTCTTGAGAAAGCTTCTGCTTCTGGGGTACCTTGTCTCAGTTTGGCACAGTATTTGTTTTACTTATCTCAGACATGTTTGTTTATCATAGTCAATGCTGAGAGTTGGAAGAAAGACAGAGAATCCAGTAAGTGACCCATAAGAGCAAAATAAAGTACACAGAAATGAGAGACAAAGTCATTACTATGTCCTTACATCAGCTACAGTTACTGCAGTACCTGTAGCTTCCATCCCCAAAGCTTCTAATACATGGTGCTCTACATGGAGTTCAAGGCAGATGTCCTCTTGTAGTGATATTTTTTATTTTCATATTGGATCACAGCTTAGATAGAGATATTCTGCAGTCACTTTTTATGTGCTGTTTTTCCCGCTGCCTCTTGAAAGACTGCATAGCTATCACCAAGATGTGAACAGTTGTTCAGATACAGTACTGGAACCTGTAGGGAGGCATTTTTCACCATTAAGAAGTAATCTACAAAGATATGTATTTTTCTTCATCATTTTTGACACACATCTTTTTGCATTAAGATACCAGAAGTATAGATGTACAAAGGATATTACTGAGAATCTCTAAGGTTTTATGTTGGGATTCACCAGCTTGCCTTATATGTGTTGTATTGAAATGTACATCTCTATACGTAGTTGTCACCCATTACTGTGTGAGAATTAGCATTTTCCCCTGAAATTTAGGAGATCACTGTGAGTTATTTGAATGGAATAGATGAGATTCTAGTAAGTTCTTCTGGACACGTGCATTGTAAGGCATATAAACCAGCTTCCTTCACTTTCAAAAAGAATGGCAAAAAAAGCAATACTAATCTAAACAAGTGAAAACTATTTAATTCATACAGTCCCTCACATCTCTAATAGCTTAGTTACTTAATGAGAGCTTTAGGTAGGAACAATTTAAAAGTGTTTAATCATTGTTAACTTCAATGCAGTCATTCAAAATGTATTTTTTCTATCTCCTCACATTGTTCTAATCTGTGTAGAATAGTTAATTTTATCAAAAAACAGCTGATCAAAACTCTGGGGCAACACATTGTAAATAGGCCTAAATACTATATCAGTAGTTTAAAAGACTCTGCGTTTTTAGTAGTAGTAGTAGTAGTAGTACTATTAGTAGTAATTTATCCCTCTGCAAATGACTTTGCAATTTATCCTACATACAGACTCACTGGATCCAGTGTTCCTGATCTTATTGTGAGCATGAGTAACCAGATGTGGCTTCATTTACAATCTGATGACAGCATTGGCTCACCAGGATTCAAAGCTGTTTATCAAGGTATGCACTAAATTAACTTTTTTAAACTCATGTTGTAACTTCCTTCGTGACAGCCCAACAAATTTATTTCAAATAGGCATTTAGTCCTTTCATGAATTTAGAGTTTTGATACTGTTTCTATTATTAATTAATGTCTAATGGATATACAGATTTGCAAAAAGCCATAAAATAACTGAAAAGAATCTGAAGTAAAAATGAAAGCTATTATTTTAGTGCTTTTTGCTTGAAGGTCAATACAAACTAAAATTTCTATTGTATTTGAAAAATTGTAAGTGTCACATTCTGCTAACCTGTGTAATTCCTTATATTGGATATTATTTGAAAATTACAGTTAGTTTTCTCAGACTTTATAGGGGTAGTTGCAAAACTTGTTTTCATGCCTCACCAAGAATCTTCACAGACTGAAGTCAAAATTAGTGTGTAACAAAACCAACAGAACAGATATATTGTGTATGGTTGTGGAAATTAAGATGTATAAGACTGTGGAAATTTAACCCCAAAAAAAGTGATTTAAATTACCCTAGCCTCCTTTGTGTTGCTTCTGTCTCAAAGAGATGAGAACCTTGGCAACAAGAGCATCTTCAGTGTTTCTTGTTTGTAAGCTTCAGTTTTGATACTTTCTGAAGTTGATTCATTATGGTAAAAAATACCTGGTATCTGTTAGTGTGTAAGCATGTATTGATATTTTGCATTTTAATAGGTTGCATAGACCTGCAGCTATAAAGAGCTCTTGCTTATTACCATATGATATCACTTTTGGTTAATTTCCATGTTAATTAGTTCACCTTAAGGGTAAGGACAAAAACAGTTAATACTATTTTTCATAGTTTGTTATGGGCACATATGGTGAAAATGATTTGATAGTAATTTTGTCAAAATTAGTTCCATACAAAAGGTGCTGCAAAACATTGAGAGACGATGCACTGTTCAGTAAGTGAGAGAAACTTAAAGAGTGGGAGTTCTCCCTAAACATTTTCCATAAACTGAAGCACCGTATCTAAGTGTTTTGTTTCAGCTGTAGTTACCTTACTGTTTCAACACCAAAAAAGGGAAAACAAGGAGTGAAAAGTTATGTAGATATTAGCTTCAAACTATACCTTTATTGCACAAAGGACATTAAGACAGGCTTGCCCATGCAGGTTTTTAGAAATGGTGTCTGTGGCTGATGGCTTATTGTGAACTTTATGTTGAAAGGAACAAGAAGGGAAAATGCTCCCCAGTGGTCAGCCAGGAAACCGAGTATTGGTTCTCCACATCAGTATCCTTCTACTCTCTGCATTGATGGAGGTGGGGATGATCACAGTGGTTAGGATTGTATTTTCACCAGGATATTTCCCTAGTACAGTATACTTTTCCTTGGGACTCATTCAAACTCACTATTGGTTGTTCCCATTCACAGTACTGATTGGAGTGTGCTAATTAGATCAGGTGTTATGCGTTCATAGGTTGTTAAGTTTCTCTGTGTATATTGTTAGATAATATTTATTGAGTATTTAAATCACTATTATCTACTTTTTTATGCACCTTGTTTTGGTTTTCTTTAATGTGAACTGAAATCTTTGAAACAAAAAGTAAGGAGAGGGGGAGAGAGAAAGGGTGATTCTTATGATGGTGGCAATTGCTTTCCATGAGAATCCTCCATAGCAACACTACTGGGATTTGCAGGTCCATGGCCATGAGAAGAACAGTATGAGAACAATAAGGAAAAAAAAGAATTGCAGAGGCTCTTGAAGCACTATCACAAATGCTGAAGTGAGGTGTTACAGAGCTGTGGGTAAAAAAGCAGACGCAGGCCCATAGCATTACTATGGCTAAGACGTGAAGGTATTTTAAGACATTGTGCAATGTGTTCAGCCTATACAGTTACACAGCTCAAGTATGTTGTGTTTCCTGAGGGCAGTGGCGTATTTTTTATTTAAGTTAACCCACACCTTCTCATCCCTTCTTTCACGGTTTCCTGTTTTTTACTTGTGTCATTTCTAGGGACCATGTTTATTAAGACTATTTTCTTTGCAGAATCCATTTGTACATTACATAAAATGGAAATAGTGTATAGTGGAAAGAGAGTATTGGCACACATTATGTATCTGACACTTTGCATTTTTTCTTCTATCCAAAGTTACAGACTTTATCTCATTGTACCTGTATGAAAAAGTTAAAAAATGTAAATCTATCTGCTGAGTTATTTTCCTGCTATCATTTCTCTTTTGGATATTTCTAATGTAATGGCCTCTGTTTTCAGTTCTGTATTTTTCTAACTTACTGAAGAAATCTTACTTAATTTCTGGAGTTCAGCCTCTTACTTCTGGGGTCTTTCTGAAAACACCTGAAGTATACACTGTGAATTTTGTAGTAGTAGTGGCATCTCTGTTATGAAGTATATTGTGATCATTTGACAGCTGATTTCTGGCTTTCAGTCTCAATTTAGAACTGATTGTGCGTAATTCTGTGTTTTTCTAGTTTTGGCAATTAATTTCAAAATAGTAAAATGTGAAATGTTTGCAATGTCAGAAATGTAGTAAATGTCCTAATATGAAAGTGAATTATAACTTTTTTCTGTTTTACCTCAATGCTCTCATTAAGTTTATTAGAAATTTCTCATTTTCCTTTACTGTTAACAAAACTTTATCCATCTGCATTCTCAACATACATGCTGTTTTAGGCTAAGCGTAAAATCTGAAACCTCTGTACTGTCACAAGTTACTTCAATGATTCTGACTCCCCTTTGTTTAACAGTCAAAGAGCCTGTCCAAAAATAGAATCTCATTTTAATGATGAGAAAGTTAATGGATTGCGACATGTGACCTCAAAGACACTTTCTCTGTTACTGCAGTTAGCTAAAAAGAAAGCAAACTGCCAGCTTTGATGGTCTGTAGAGACAAAGTAGAGGGCATTCTTATTTGAACCTTTTAACCAAAAAGTCAAAGTTTTGCTTAGGATTAGAACTTGACTCCTCAGTCTCTTGGGCAATATTTTACAACTGACTGACTGCATCTTGACTTTGTATCTATTACAGTAAAATCAATTTTTATATTAATATTGACAAAGTGTCATAGACTGATTGCAGTTTGTAGAAAATTATTACTTTAGCTGAGCATTGTCTCACTTTAATTATGAATAGAGAAGCACTGTGATGATGCAGTTGAGCTATCCTACATTAGTATGTCCACCTAAAAATGACAAGAAATGACACCTGTAAGTGAACTGATACGCATCACAGATTTTGTATATAAGTAGGAAACTTAACCCTCTTTACAGTTTGCCTAAGGGATTAAAGGAGGAACAATTTTTTCTGTATTATTATGCCTCCACTTTGGCTCACCTTCAGAAACATCTTAATGTCAGAAATATGAAGTGCTGTCTATATTCTTGTTACTCAGATTTCTTGATTTTGAATTGATTTCTTGATTATGAATGGATATTTAAGATATTTGATATTTACTTTAAGAAAAGTTCTGTAGTCTGCCTAATTAGTCAGGCTGCTTGGACTGCACAACGCAGCTCTCCCATAGTTGGATGCACGAGAAAGATTTCAGACATAGGTCCTCAAGAAATAGTTACCAGTAATAGTTTTTGATACAGAGGAATACCACTGTAGCTGTATCACTGTATGCAATGGAAGTTGAGCTATAGAAACACAGATAATAAAAATAATGTTGAGATTAGCTTGTTAACTTGACAAAGCTGATAAACTGCTACTGTGTTAAATTGTTCTGTCCTTGAAGAAAGAGACATGTTGTAATACCACACCCAAGTATATCAAAGGATCTGTATGGAAATTCTCTTTCCATTATAATCTATCACAATTTTCCTTACTGAAGCCAGCATGACCTGGTGTCACTCCACACCTTTTCATTAAGTAAAGAGAAGGAAGACAAAATGTGCTATTATACATAGTTAATGTCACTAAAATGGATATTGTCTTCTGCCACAGACATAGAGAAATTAGTGACACTGTGTATTTCACAGCTGAGAATTTATGATTAAAAACTCTAACATTTCTCTGTGAATACTTGTGTATGTAGCTACTTGTGTAGAGAGGGCTGTGTTAAAGTTGTTGAGCTCTGTTAAAGAACGATAAAAATGAGAAGGAAATTTATTCAGAGCAAAAAATAACAGATTTAGGCTGTCATTAAGACTGTATTCAGAATTTCAGTGATGACGTGTTTAGAAAGTAAAGGATTTAAGAGACTGGATTGTAAGTTCTGGTTATGTCTCTAATTTAATTTTTACTTTCACGTGTGTATTTAGTAAGGTTTTGAAAGACTTCAGCGTATTTCTCCATACAAAGGAGACATATCTGTAATCCTCATATGTCACCTCCTGGAGAAATAACATAAACATGCTGAATGGTAATCTTGTTGAAGGTTGTTGCCAGTCTCCCTTGTTGAAGTTGCTTCAGTCCAAATAAATTTTAAACATGCATTAGAACAGGGCCTGGTGTCTTCCGAGCACTCTGATTGTATTGATTTAGGTTGACCATGAGTACTTAGTTTAGATGAGTAAACTGTTTATAGGAAGAAATTTTTCTGAGCTCTAACTTAAACAGCAGTCCTGGCATGCAATGACACTAAAACCTCATAGATTTTTTTTTTTTGTATTACTGTATATATAAAGAACAACATGAAACATACACTTAAATAGAGATAGAGTGCATAAAGTGTAATCCTAAAGATGAAAACAATATTAGTATCAGGATACCACCATTCTGAGGTCACGGGTTAATCTTGTAACAGCAACAGACAAAGTGTATTTCTACCAATGACATGCTAAGACTGTATTTGTATGAGGAAACCTTTCTTGCAGTTTGTTGCTGGTCATAGCATAAAGCAGGGACTTTTTTATATGCAATAGGTAAAGAAATTTCATTGAAGTAATTTTTAAATCATACGCTTATTTTTTTGTTTTAATTTGTTTTCCTCTTGGGCTGCATTTCAATTGTGTTTTGACCACAAGTGAAGACCACCCATGCCCAACCTTGCCCAGCAACTTGTGATCTG